GATGGCCAGTATGTTGGTTGTCCCGTCGATAAGTAGGTGCAGTTTGTGTTGTTGATGGCATCTAATAGGCTTCTGCCTTTTGGTGTAATGAGTCGTGAGCCCCAATTCGTATGCTTAGCATTCCAATCACCTCCAACAATGAATTTGTTACCTAGCTTATTGAATAGTTCTTCGTATTCTTCAGTTGTGATTCTATATCTAGGAGGACTATATATTGCAGCAATTTCGAAGTCCCAAGGCCTGCCATTTATATTAAGTATTGTTGCTTGAATCTTATTTGTTTTATGTTCCGGCATTTGATGGTGTTGTATATTGTTCCTTATAATTATTGCGGATCCTCCATGGGCTGTTCCATCTGGGTGACTAGTGTGGTAGACTGAGTATTGAGGTATTTTAATGACGCTTCTTTCTGTGAAATGCGTTTCAGATACAAGAAGGATGTCTATTTTGTTGTCAACCCCCTCTGTGGCTCAGTGGTAAGAGCGCCTGCCTTTAAACCTAAAGGTCGTGAGTTCGAATCCCACCTGGGTGGAAATTTTCGTTTATTAAAAAAAATTAATGAATGAAAATAATTTCTATCCTTGTGTGATCGGTACACACCGGAGGGACCGCAGACGTTCGGATACAATTAGCGTCTCTTAGCAAAGACAATGACGTCGACTTTGCTAAGTATCAAGACAATTACTCTACACCGACAAACACACATACACACACTACATTATTAAACTAATCTTGATTGAGACTGGCTGAATGACAATTGTCCAAGCCAAAACACACAAAAAAAAAAAAAAATATTTTGTTGTCCTTTAGGAATTGGATTACTTCTGCTTTATGGTTTGCTAAACCATTTGCGTTCCACTCGGCGATTCGAACAGATCTAACGAATTTTGTTAATTAATGTTGTTAGCATGGTAAGGATCATGCTGTTTTGATTCATTAGTTGGGTGAACATTGCTTTAAATTCGTTTAAGAATAAGTTCATTTGAGACCCTATGTCAGCTACTTGATTTCCTGCTCTTACTGCTTGGGCATAGGATTGGGTTCCATTCTGTTGTTGGTACTGTGATTGTTGACTCTGGTACTGTGAAGTTGGTGCTGGGTTAACATTTTGATGTGGGTTCGGATTATTATGGGTCGACTGATTTCCGCTTTGGCGATTATTTCTTGCATTTTGTAAGTCCTTGTAAATTACACAGCCTTTATATTAGCAGTTATTAGCTTTATATTTATATTTGCAGTGTGTTCTCCTGTACACAGGGCACATTTTGCTGGTGTATTTCTGGGTTTTGTACATTTTGGTGATGGGTGACTTCCTCCGCATTTCACGCATGCATATGGTCTTGTACAGTACGCTTTTGTGTGTCCATAACGTTGACATCGCTGACACTGTGTTATATTGTTCTTTTTGTGAGGGGGTTCAAAGCTGACTTTCATATTGCCGATATGATCCAGTGTATAAATGTGTTTGTTGTTTTCTTTGGGTTCTAGGTCCACATAGAACATTGACAAAGGTGTTTTATTGACTCTGTGCAAAACGTTAATGATACTACGGACAGTATGTCCCGATTTACCTAGTTCACTTTTTATTTCTTCAACCGGCATCGAGTGGTGTAAATTCCTTATAACTACCCTATAAGCTCTATCTTGTTTTGCTTGGTATGTATGGTGAACTATTTTGTTGCTATTTAAATGCTGTATAAGTTTTCTGTATGATTCTATAGTTTTGAGGTTTATTTTTATTGTATCATTTGGAAGAGCTTTCAACTGGTAGTCTTCAGCTTTAATGACTGTTGATAGGTTTTCAGTCATTTTTTTAATATCATTTACCCCATAGATAAATATAGGTGGAGGTTTAGGTGTTACTGGTGTGTTGTTACTATCGTTTAAGTTTTCTAATGGTTCAAATCTGTTGTTTGTACTCACTTGCGTTGTTGTGTTGTCATCTTTGGGGTTTGCCTTCCTTTTTTTTGTAATTTTTTTGACTGTTTGCCAATCGTGAACGTTTTCTATGGTTTCGTCGTCTTGGTCGCTCGAGTTTTCCATGACAGTTTCCTCTTCGCTGAGGGTGTATTGGGTGGCATTTGATGTATTTGGTTGATCCATTGGAGGTGCAGGAGGGTTTAGGTTATATTGGTGATTATTGTTTAGGAATGGAGTAGCCGGTATATATTGGTTTGTTACCTGTTGGACATTGCTCGGGAACCCATAGACTGGGGGCGATATTATTGGAGGTTGTTGAGGCTGGGTATATATTTGGGGCACATTATACAACTCCCCATTTGGCACTTGATTTTGTAAATTTTGGTGGTACATTTCCTTAGTATAGTGCGCCACTGGTTAAAAATTAATCACATAAATAGTTATTTAAAATTAATCACTTAAGAATAGTTATTTACTTTTATTTTTATTTCACTAATTATCAGCAATAAACTAGTCCCGGCCGATAGCCGAGGCCGGCAGAAAAACTTGAAACTTGAATCTCGAGAGCGATATGAGTACATGTTTACTGCTCGGAATTCAAATACGAACTGGCAAAATCTAAAAATCTACTCATCATAAAATTAGGAATATTATTTATTCGTTGCAAGTTATTAATATTAAGAAACTGCTGCATCAGTATATCTTTATCACAATCCAAAAAGCTGTTATCATTTTTTGAGTACTTAATAGAGTTTTTTAAAAATAAAATATTCTCAAATTAATTAAAATAATTTTCATACATCACAACATCAGCTTTAGGTATAAAATACACAACGGAAACATAAAGGGTGAAGTCAATGGTAACTTGGTTTTACAGTCTTCTATGTTTTCCAAATTAACCTCTGCAGACTCATCACAAATTGATTTAAACATTACATTATGACAATTACAGAAACTTTCCAACCATACATTCGATGTTGTATAACCTTTTAAATGGATGTCTTATAGAACAATTTATTTTATTGGGAATCAAATAAAAATACAAATAAAATCAACAGATTAAAATGAGTGGGCAAATAAAAATGAAGCAACAACTAAATAATGGACAGATCAGGAATACATTCTTGCGTAGTACCTGATAATTACAACAGTAGAAGAAAAAATATACGAGTTTAAAGAGGTAAAAAGATTTGAATACCTAGAATACCTATTCATCTGGAGAAATGAGATGTGAGAAAAAATCCAAAAGAGGTTTACATCTGCAATTGCTGCTTTTTACTGTGAACAAACTTCTAAGAAGTAAAAATATATTCAGAAGAACTAAAGTGAGTATATACCAGACAATATAAAACAGAACAAGTCATTATTCCACTGCATGAAAGGTCTGTAGGAAAATATTTTGATAAAAACTGTGGAATAAGGTATGGGTAAAAAGATCAAATACATAGTTGGAGCAGATATATTATGTAGAACCAAATATTTTATGAGTCATAAAAGCATATAGACTGAGATGGTTGGGGCATATCCAAAGAGTGTCTGAGACGAGACTATCTAAAATAATTCATACACATTACAGATTACAACTAGGGCAGCTCTTGGCCTGACATACAGCGACCTTTACAGATCTACTATGCTTCCTAGAAGTAAACTTAGTTTCTCCAACAAATATTTGTAAGGTTTTGCATGTGCAACGACGTTATGTACTGATAAAATTTGATCCTCTATATGTATATTACTCTGAATATAATCTCATTTTTTATCTCTTTCTGCCAATTGCCAATTTCTGCATAATTGGACTGATATCATTCTATTATTATTTAATAAATGGTATTTGTAGTATCTAATTTAGATGTCCAAATTATTTAAGTTTCTGATTATTTATTTTTCCTTTCCCATTGGGCGGCGTACTTCTACATTTTGATGTGTTCAGTTTAAGATATTTTGAGTTTAAAATATTTGGCATACCCTCATTTCTCTAGTTTTTTCATTAATATTTTTTTCAATTTTTCATTAAGTTTCTTGTTAACATTTATTAAATTTGCAAATTTATAATTTGCTATTGGAAGTTATTAGTAAATGTGAATATTGTAGATATATGAGAGGAGAAATTATCCACAGATAACACTCCCAATACAAACACTAACAAATTAAATTAATGTTGTATTAAATTTGAGAGTAATATTGAAATTAAAATTAAATCTAAAATTAAAGAATGAAGTCTGTTGTCCAGTGTCTCTTCAATCTTCGTCTGACTTCTGGTTGTAGGTGGAGTTGACTTGCTTCCTCATTGGGATGGACTGGTAGCTGTTATAGATAGTTTTTTGTTAGTCTGCTGATTTCTTCTGCAACAAACAGTATACAAGAGTCTTCATGCACTTTTTTGGTATTAACGCACCACGGCGCGATGAAAATCATTCTAAGTATCTTCGATTTGATTCTCTGAATGATTTTGGTATTAAAAAGCTTGACACGGCCCCATAGTTGCACTCCATATGTCGTTAGATAGCATGTATACATATATACATAATATGTGTAGGTAGCTGCGATTTTCGACATATTAGTCAATTCATTTGACATATTTTCATGTTGATATGGTTTTTTTGCCAAGATGTGTGCTTTCCAAGTGAGCTTTTGGTCAAGTGCCGTTCCCAGGTATTTGACTTCTGTTTTTACTGGTAGTAATATATCGTTCAGTGTGATTTTCGGGCATATGGTGTTTCTGTTCGTTAATGTAATTTGATTAGACTTAATGTGATTAACTTTGATTTTTCATCTATTCATCCAGTCTTGTAGTAGACTCAGGTGCATTTGGAAGGATTCCTGATACTACTTGAGGGTCATCATCAATGGATATTATTGCATCTGCGAACATGGCTCCTGTAGTAGTATTTGTTATTGGGATATCAGCCGTGTGTATGAGGTACCGGAGGGGACCAAGGACACTTATAGGTTATAGCATAGTAATGAGAGGTTTCTTTAAGGAATCTGACTTGAAACTGACGTTCTATGAGATATTTATAACATCTGAATTTAAGTTATTTTACAAAACTGATATTTTTCAAATTCTTATTTGTTTTTAGGAAACTTTGGAGGTGCCAGGGGTAACAAACAAGGAGGTCAAGGAGGAAGAAATCCTCAGCTACAGAAGCAGAAGCCAAAATGATTTGTATAATATTGCGCGTTTAGGGTTACTGTCGTAATTTAAGAATTAATATTAATAAATTTCAAATATATATGAACAGATCTTTATTTAGGCACCAATAATGTTACATAGCTCATACATTAAGATTAGTTATTCCTTGGAAGGTTATAATGTAAAAGTAAATATTGTTCTGAAGCTATTTTCTTGTGGCATTGTAAATTAATTACTATTTATAACTGGGAATAAGCCACAATTAAAGATAAAAATACGTTTATTGACGTTTCAATTTCCAATTCGGAAATCGTTCTCAAAATACAAATAGTAAATTAAACAAATTTTGTTTTTTTGTTACATAGTGAAAAAATTCTTCTAATAATTTAATTTTATCTGACTCATTTATATTGACAATTCAGACATACATTATGCATTTTAAAGTAGACGACTTTAAAATGATATTGCCAATATTGTTGAGTTGCGCTCCTGGGACGACTTTACTTATAAGATAGTTCATTCGATTACATGAAATCAATTTTAACTTGAGAATATCCGTCAGAAAAAATCATAGCATGTAATTCGTCTTTAAAAAGACAAACACATGACATGATGACAGTAAAATTCTCCTGTTAGTGATTCCATAGTAAATTATGAGGGAAAAACCAGGAAAAAAACCTCATAATACTATCCCGACATTGTAAGTATTTGTTCGTGAATTTAGTTTACCTTCAACAAACATCAAAATTCTGATTTTATATGTTACGTTATTTAAAAAAACATAAATGATGTATCCTCTATATGTTACTGACTTACTAATACTGGTATTTTCTTATTAATAACTTCCTCTTTCAATATTGGTAACCAGATCCTACTACATTCTGCCGAGGAATTTGCGACACAATTGGCCTCATTTAGCATAATTAGAGCCGCTTCTTTGATTTTTCTTTTTTTACCATCCGTTTCTTTTAGGACTATATTTGAATTATTCCATTGAACCCTATGTTCATTATCCCAATGCTTGTTTACATATTTGAGATCTATCAAATTCTCTATTTTTAATATAAGATTGATGTTCACTTATTCTAACATTTAATGGCCTTGATGTTTCACCTAAATAAAACTGATCGCATTCACAAGGTATTTTATAAATGCAATTCTTTGTCCTTTCTTGTTCATTGTTAGGTTTGGTTTTGGACAAAATAGATCTCAACGTATTTGTTGTTTTGAATGTTGTTGAAATGTTGAATTTATTTCCTATCCTTTTAAGTTTTTCCGATAATCCTTTTATGTACGGTATTGTTATTTTCCTCATATTATTCCTTGTGTATGCTGTAGGATCTCGTTCTAAGTTGTTCTGTTCTATTCGATCGATTGTTGAAAATTCCTTATTTATAAACGATAAAGGATAATCATTTTTTAATAAAACATGATCAGTTTTATTTAGGTGAATCATCAAGGCCATTAAATGTTAAAATAAGTGAACATCAATCTTATATTAAAAATAGAGAATTTGATAGATCTCAAATATGTAAACACGCATGGGATAATGAACATAGGGTTCAATGGAATAATTCAAATATAGTCCTAAAAGAAACGGATGGTAAAAAAAGAAAAATCAAAGAAGCGGCTCTAATTATGCTAAATGAGGCCAATTGTGTCGCAAATTCCTCGGCAGAATGTAGTAGGATCTGGTTACCAATATTGAAAGAGGAAGTTATTAATAAGAAAATACCAGTATTAGTAAGTCAGTAACATATAAAGGATACATCATTTATGTTTTTTTAAATAACGTAACATATAAAATCAGAATTTTGATGTTTGTTGAAGGTAAACTAAATTCACGAACAAATACTTACAATGTCGGGATAGTATTATGAGGTTTTTTTCCTGGTTTTTCCCTCATAATTTACTATGGAATCACTAACAGGAGAATTTTACTGTCATCATGTCATGTGTTTGTTTTTTTAAAGACGAATTACATGCTATGATTTTTTCTGACGGATATTCTCAAGTTAAAGTTGATTTCATGTAATCGAATGAACTATCTTATAAGTAAAGTCGTCCCAGGAGCGCAACTCAACAATATTGGCAATATCATTTTAAAGTCGTCTACTTTAAAATGCATAATGTATGTCTGAATTGTCAATATAAATGAGTCAGATAAAATTAAATTATTAGAAGAATTTTTTCACTATGTAACAAAAAAACAAAATTTGTTTAATTTACTATTTGTATTTTGAGAACGATTTCCGAATTGGAAATTGAAACGTCAATAAACGTATTTTTATCTTTAATTGTGGCTTATTCCCAGTTATAAATAGTAAGTAAAAGTAAATGCAAGAAAATGTAAATAACTACACATACCGATTATATAAATACATCGATTTTCGGTCTTAAATGAAATCTTGTTTACGTTTTTCTGTGTCCGAGGTAGATTTTATCAGATGCCTTGCAGCAATAGTCAGAGTATTTTTTAGATTGGGTCAGGTCGCATGACTAATGTATTTTGGTCTAGCGAGCATTATGGTCTATACATGAATATCACCACGACGAAACTTACGGTTTATTCCAAATTACGAACACAAGCTGTCTTGAATAAGCTAGAAAGAAATTTACTATGAAGTAAAAACTTCTTGTGTAAAATGGTATAAATTTATTACAGATTTTAAAAATATCTAAAATGGATTTATAACGTTTCAGAATATTTTCAGTCCTATCAGATCATCAAAATACAAACCAGAGAAGGCAACGGGAAACCACTCTGGTATATATTTCCCAAGAAAACTACAATGAAAGCACAAACAGAATTGGCCCCTAGTTCCCGGCAGATCTTGATGATCAAGGGGTGCGAAGAATCCCCGGGAGGAATAGCCTAAATATTTTAAATACAAACTTTAAGATTGCAACATGGAACGTTAGAAGTCTGTTCGAAACAGGAAAACTAGCAAATGCATGCCTCGAAATGAAACGTTTAGGGTTGCAGATATTGGGTTTGAGTGAAGTTAAATGGCCAGGTTCAGGTAAAGTTAAAACCATGAACAAAACTTTCTATTACTCGGGTAATAACGATCCGGTTCATCGTAACGGGGTTGGAGTAATTTTAGAAGACAAATATAACCATGCCGTCACAAACTTTGTGCCATTTTCGGACCGATGTCTTCTTATTCAACTATCCGGAAAGCCAGTAAATATTAACATCATTCAAACTTATGCCCCTACGGCCGATAAACCCATAGAAGAGCTAGAAGCGTGGTATGCTGAAGTAGAAAAACTAATAAAGATGACCAAAAAACGAGACCTAACATTTATCTTAGGTGACTTTAATGCTAAGTTAGGTAGAGGAAAAGTTTCTGGATTGATCGGAAACTTCGGACTTGGAGCAAGGAACGACAGGGGAGAGAGAATGACCGAATTCTGCCAACAACACAACATGGTAGTGACAAATACATGGTTTAAATTACACCCTCGCAGATTGTACACTTGGACTTCACCACAACACAATGAAAACAGAGTAATCCATCAGTGCAAAAACATATCCTGGAACTGACATCAATTCCGATCATAATCCTGTTGTTGCAAAAGTTCGCGCAAGATGGAAACTAATAAAGAAACACAAAACTTAACACCAACTATTAGACATCCAATTATTGAAAAACGACACCATACATCAGACAGTAAATAAAGAATTAAACAAAAATTTAGGAAATATCGACCACAATAGAATTAGCGAGTACGATGACATAAACGTTCTGTGGAAAACGATTAAAGAACAAATGAACAATGTAACGGAAAAACATCTAAAAGTAACACCTAGAAATAACAAACAGGAATGGATGACAGAAGAGATTTTACAATTAATGAACAAACGAAGAGAATCTAAAGGAAAAAATGACAAGGACGGAGAATACAAAAGACTAAATAGAATAATTCGAAAAAAAAAAATAGCCGAAGCAAAAGAGAAATGGCTGGAAACAAAATGCGTTGAAATAGAAGAACTGCAACAAAGGCACGATTTTTTTAATTTACATAAAAAGGTAAAAGAGTTTACATTGACTACCAAGAGAATGACTTTTCACACCATGCTGAACACGGATGACAAACTGCTAGAATCAACGGAAGATAAACTGAAAGAATGGGAAAACTATATTAAAATTCTTTTTCACGACATACGAGAAGAACCAAGATTGGAAAATAACAACGAAGGGCCAACGATTCTGAAATCTGAAATCATAAATGCAATTAATCATCTCAAAACAAATAAAAGCCCAGGTCTAGACGGAATATACCCAGAAACGTTCAAATTAATCAGCGAAGAAAATATCGAATTATTTGTCCTTTTATTCAATCGCATTTATGATACAGGTAAAATACCCCAAGATTGGCTGGAGTCAATATTCATCCCACTACCAAAAAAGCCAAACCCACAACACTGCAATGAGTTCCGTCTGATAAGCCTTATGAGTCATGCAGTAAAAGTCCTACTAAAAATCGTACATAATCGTATCTATAGAAAGTGCGAAACAATCATCGGATACGATCAGTTTGGATTCAGAGCCAAATGCTACGACCAACAGAAAGATATATTTATATGCTTTATAGACTTCGAAAAAGCATTTGATAGAGTAAGACACGACCTACTATTAGAACGTTTGCAAGAAGTCGGTTTAGATGGAAAAGACATCAATCTCTTAAAAAACTTGTACTGGAACCAAAAAGCCAGAGTTAGGATCGAAGGTTCCACATCCGCAAAAGTAGAAATTAGGAGGGGAGTTAGACAGGGATGTGTTCTGTCGCCTCTGCTGTTTAATCTTTACTCCGAGTTTCTATTTAAAGAAGCATTGGAGGATTCCAAGGATGGAGTCAAGGTGAATGGCGTAAATATCAACAGTATCAGATACGCCGATGATACAGTGTTAATTGCGGATTCCGACTCAGGTCTACAACGACTCATCGACAAGACCAACTCGACCTGTGAGCAATTTGGTATGAAAATAAACATTAAAAAAACCAAAGTGATGTCAATCCGAAAAAACCAAAACGTACGTCAACCTTGCACAATAAATGAGCACATCTTAGAACAGGTCAATAGATTTAAGTACCTGGGA